CTCTGACACTTCTAGGATAAATTCCTAGAAGAATTGCTGTACAGGAGAGTGTGTGATTAATAGTTGCACCGTAAGGCATGTCTTGCCCTTGTCCACACATCTTTTGTTTAGGAGTCAGTGTTGGATTCCGAGTTTTTGTAGAAACAGTGAAAACACTAGATCGTACGCTAGAGAAGCACAATCATGAACAAGGCCCTGGAGAAGTGGCATGTGAAGGGGCTGGTCCGTGAGTTCACAGGGAAGTTACAAGCAAGTACAGCCTGTGGCCAGCCAAATAATGAAAGGAAGAGAAGTGGGTTTTCGGCAGGAACAAACCGGAGTGCTGGCGAAGTACGCACTGGGACCAGGAGAATGGAAGAAGGAAAAGTGAGGAAGAGGAGGAAATGTGTTGACGTAGGTCCCACTTGAACACCTGAGCAAGTCTCAAGCCCATAGAACTCAGTGCCACAGAAAATGCTTTTTTATAAACAGCAGAAGAATTGCTTCTAAAATGACAGCTGATGTTTAGAAGTAATTTCTCGCTATTCCCCATCACACTCATCATTAATGCATATAGGTTAAAAAATACAAAGATGAATATAATTAAAAATGAAAGTCTCCTGTTACCTTTCTCTACAAGTTAGTTGTGAATTTGGTCTGATTTCTTTGATATACACATACTCAAGTGCACATTTTTCTTTTTCACTGAAATAGGAAAAGCTTTATACACGTATTGCTCTCCAGTCTTCCAGCTAGAAAATCCAACAAACCCGGTCTTCTGTCCTTGCAGACAGGTCTGAGTCCTGTCAGATCACACGCTCTTCTGAGGCGTGTGAATGCCACACACGGTGAGGTTATGTTCGCTGTTGCTCGTGCCTTTCCGGCTGATTCTAATTCCATTCTTCCTTACACCGCTGCAGCGAGTGCGGCTTGGCCTGCAGCTCACTTCTCCAGGGCCGCTTCTGAGCACTGTCCTGTTTTCCGTTCACGAAGAGCGGTTAGGTGGTGATTTGTTTGGAGGCAGCAGTATCATTCACTCTGGAAATGTGTGTCAGTATAGAACTACTTTTCTTTAGAAATACTTAAAGCTTTGAGTGTTGTTCATTCAGTAGCTGTCAAAGGGTGGCTTCTGTGTTTGGAATGATGGACCCGAGTTCTAGCTGCTTCTGGCACAGATTTGTAATTTAAAGTGAGAAAGATGAACTCTATTCACTGTATAGTAAAACATACTGTGAGGTTGAAAACAGTGATGTATGTGAAGCACTTGGAGTTTCTCTAAAGAATAATAAGATGTAATACTCTTAAAAATACACATAGATTACCTTCAGCTTCCTCTCCTGAAAGACCATGTCAACTACAAGCCGTGCCAGTGGCTTCTCAGCCGCGGTATCTCCTGAAAGAGCAAAGGTGGTTGTGGGTGTGCAGAGGGAGGAAGCTCCTGTTGATGTTGAGTGGTGGTACGCGTCAGGCTGGGAGGAGAGCCTACCTCAGCGCACCCTGGCCCGAGACCGGGTTATGCTCCTGTGACTGCCCTGGAACTCAGCTCACGCTCTCCTTCTTTTAATTAAGAGTAGTGATTAATTAGAGGTCTGCTTCATCTCATAGGCATGTTGTGTAAAGTCAAGATTAGCAGGGATGAGCTGTAAGAATACTATTTTGAAAGACTCACTGGTCCATGATTAGATTGACTGCAGGGACTGGGGATACTACTGTGTTTGGGGCGCATCTTTGAGGTCTTGTTCCTGTGCTCTTTCAGGAAGCCACCAGCTAGTGAGAACATGGTGACCCAGAGATTTAGGGAAGAGCAAGATGAGGGTTTAGACTAAATTATAGCTTTAGCAGGAGATCAGCGTCTCGCAGCAGTCTCATTAAGTGCTGTTCCTTAGTTTTCATGAACCAAGATGATATAATTGTTGATCAACTACAATCATCAGATAAAGGTGATAATACATACAGAAATTATTTTTGTTACTTCTTAGGAGAATTCAAATGAGAACCTGGCTTACATTTATATAACATGTTCTGGTTTATTGTTCATACTTAATCTTCCGAACTTCATTAATTCCTGGAAGTTTTCCATGTAGCTCTCTTAAAATGCCTATCACGTTCTAATCTTTAGAAAAATCTTCTTTGTCTTTGAGAGCAAATTACTTGTTTCCTCCAAAGCTGCCATTGTTTTATGTTTCATACGCTTCAAACCCTAAAAACTGCCCCTAGAACCAGTGATTTTAATGGTGCTGGTTTTCGCATCTCTTCCTTAAAGGATCCACTACACACACACACACACACACACACACACACACACACACACACATAGAGGTAGGGCCACGTAAAGGGCTTCTCTTGTTATTGTTCATTTGCTAGATTTTTTCTAAAAATCCATTGGGGATAAGGACAAGCATAACTGCTCCCGTAGTGGATGATGAAAACTGTCCCTTGAATTTTTATGAAATTTATAATTACAGTTGCTTTTCTGTAACGTTAGAAGCTTGTGAACACATTGCATTTTGATGCCTCTCGGGATCACATTATTTAAAACTGTTCCTGCCGTCACTGTTTTCCTGTTTTCCCTGTGCCCCTCATAGCTGGCCCTATCCTGTTTCATAGCATTTTTCACCTTCTCAAATAAATATGACTCACCCCACCACTAAAGTGTGATCTCGTTGAAAGAGGAGATTTTTCTCTTTTGTCTTTACTCCTATCCAGTGCCTAGAAAAGCTACCATGTAAATGACCATCCAGTTTCCCAACTTCTGTATATACTTTGTAAAATGGATTTAGTCTGAACTTTTAACTTTGAGAGACACTGAATTTGTTTAAATTTTGATGGTGAGCTCTGAGTCACCTGTAATACAAAAGATTGGAAAGTCAGTATCACCATCTTTATTTTTAAGGTCATATTTTATGAAAGACATATGCCTTCCCCTTAAATCAGGATTTTGTTCCAAAACTCAGTCCTTAAGGCAGAGTTTGCATATTAAGCTCAATCTCTCAAAAACCTCTGGATCAGTGATGAGAAGCAGTGTTCATGTGGATGTTAACGATGATGAATTTGATAATTTGATGTGCCTTAAGTCCCGAAATACCTTCTGATTCGCCAAGAAGAATGAAAACTTTAAAAGTGGAGTTTTCCTAGAGTGTGTTACATTCAGTGAAATAAGTCAGGCAGAGAAAAACAAGCATCACCTGCTCTTCTCTCTGGGAGCTGAGACACCTCACGGTGCAGTGAGTGGAGCAGGGCTGTGAGCACCGGGGAGATGTAGGGAGATGTAGGGAGAGCAGAGTTGGAGGATGGAGGCTCACAGTTGTGAAGGGGTCACTGCTCATGCTCCGTATGTAGCACAGCAGGGAAATACGTTATCTGGATTTTGGGTTTTCCCAACACAAAGCAATGACAAATGGCTGAGATGGTAGATATGCCCGTTACCTTGATTTTAACATTACATATTGTGTATGTGTATTGAAATGTCACACTTTTCTCCCTAAATATAAAGATACATATAATAACTATGTCAGTGAAAATTTTAAAAAAAATTAAAGTTAGGTTCTACTTATGATATTTTAGTGGTCATCTGAGTTTTATGTATGTAATAAGTCAGTTAAATAGAATACTAATCTCCAAATGGTCTGAAATAAATAAAAGCTTAATCTTTTTAAAATGATTAATGTTTACTTCTCTCATTTATACCAGAAGCATAGACAATTCTTTCTTAATTCTGACATAAATTGCTCTTTTTTCTAGATATATGTATGATTTCCACCAAGGTATTTTACACTCTTCTGATTAGTGAGCTAAAATTATTTGGCACATACCTAAATATGTCAGTATTTTTTATGGAAGATTGATGGAATTTTTGGTGTTGACAGTGATACAGGAATAAGTTTTTATAGGAATGTTTTGCTAGGGAGAGGAAAACCAATCACAGATAACAGTTATCAGGCATTTACTGTGTGTCAGTCATTCTTCTACATGGTTTTCACTAAGTAGTTTGTTCCTCACAACAGCTTTTTGAGGGTTTTTAGGTAGGTGTATATTGGTAGCCCATTCTGTAGGAGAGAAACTGCCTCAGAAGACGTAAGTATCTTTCCCCAGTTCACACAGAGAGTACATAGGGGAGCTGATGTCTGTACCCACACCTCACTCTGTTTCAGGAGGAACGTGTTTTTAGTATTCTCACTTTATGAGGGGCCATGAAGTAGTGGTGTGTCAATCAAGATCCAGACTGATTCATTAAAAACACATTAAATGTTTCAACAGAGAGAATGTAATGTAGGGAAATATGTAAACAGATACTCAAGAATCAAAGGGAACACAGCAGTTAAGAAGTATCACAGAATTAACAGTTGCCGTGAACAGTCACCAGGGTCAGGTGGCCAAAAGGGAGAAGTTGTGGCAAACAAAATTGGAGGCGAAGCCTCACGTAGCTGAGCTCTAGACCCCTAAGGGTGAGGGCGGAGTGGTTACTGGGAGTCTGGAGCTCAGCACTGACTTCAGAGGCGAGGTGTTGCCCACGTATGGTGTGTGATGGGGGATGCAGAGACTGGTTCTGGTTGTGCTGAAAGAAGCTGTAGTTGCTCTGGTCACTGGGTCGATCGGATGAGTCCACCCTGACAGAAAGAGCGAGGAGCAGGAAGCAGAAGCAGCCTCTTTCCTTCTTCCCACTTCAGTCCCCCTTACCTGGCTTAGGGCGTGGAGCCTAGTAGGAAGCCATAATATGGAGACTGAGGTGGGGTACACCTGGCCCCTCAGCACCCCAGAGGGCAAGGAGAAGGAGCCCTGTGCTGACGTACAGGAGTGTAGGAACTGGCGGAGTGGAGGCAAATCAGAACTTAATGGCGACAACTCTTGGAGACTAGTTCAGTCTGTAAGTCATGGTGTGAAATGAATAATCAGGAAACTTGGATAAGTAATAATATGAAAACCTTAAAAGTTGCCATAGTATTTTAAATGGAAAAATATTGCTTTATAATATGTGTGGGAAAAACTACTAAAGTATTAAATATCTTTTTTATTCATTTTAGATAAGATGGGAAAAAAACATCACATTAGGGGAACCTCCAGGATTCTTACATTCTTGGTGGTGGTAAGTATCTTTCAGTCCATTTTTACTACCTTGATGATGCATTCCAGTATGCCTGCACTATACCTGTTTATGATTTCATGCTTCTATTTTTCGTTTGCTAAAATTGTTATCTGAGAGGTAGCACTTTTAAGAAACAAGAAATCAAAATCACATTACCGTTATTTGATCTAAAGATATTACATTGAGTCTAGAAAGAATTGAAACTAGTATGTGGACTCTTCAGCTGTAAGTTATTATTTTCTGTTAGTTTGCTAGAGTTACTACAACACAGTGCCTGGAAATGGATAGGTTAAACAATGGAAATTTATTTTCTCACGGTTCTGGAGGGCTAGACATCTGAGGTCAAGGGGTTATAGCAGTTGGATTCTGAAGAGGGCTGTCTTCCAGCCTTGTAGACAGGCATCTTCTCACTATGTCCTCACAGTTGCTGGGGAGAAAAAAAGCAGACTCTCTGTATCTTTTCTCATAAAATGCTAATCCCATTGTGGGAGTCCTAGCCTGTGACTTCAACTAAATATAATTATCTCCCAAACGCTGCATCTTAAAGTACTACACCTGGGGAGCTGGGACTTTAATACATGGATTTGAAGGGAGATACAGATTAGTCCATAGCAGTGACATGAGGATGGCACTTATAGTGTGCCTGGATTTCTGCTCACTGACTAGCTACAGGGTTGCTTTTCTAGTCTAGCAAGTTGTCCTGTGCTAGGCCACTATGGGTAACCACAAGCTTTGGCCTGCCCTTCCACTTTCTTCTTTTTATCCTCGTTTCTCCTCTCGGGGGAAGTGGGAGTGAAGAGAAGGGTTTCATTGGCATCTTTTGTAAGAGGGCAATTCCACTTCAAAATAATGACCACTCATTAAGCAAAATCTTCCAAAACAAGAAGAGAGTAAGTTATAAATAAGCAGGTACTGAAATAAATTTATCTTCATTTTCTTAAAAAGGAGCATATTCATGAGACACACTTTCCTGATCCAATGCTCAACAGATACTGAACTATCCATGTGGATTTTTTAGTGGGTTTTGGGGTATTTTTGCCATAAGTAGTTGTACCTTTTAAAGTTTTATTTACTCAAGAGGCTTTGGGCAAATTTCGTTTTTACAAGCCTAGTAAACTTTCTTTATTGTATAGTTAAAAAAGCTTAAGTAGTGCTTTGTATGTGCCAGGTGCGATACTCCAGATACTGGGGACACTATAGTGACTAAAGCAGATACACATCCCTGCCCTCCTACTTGGGAAAACGGACAGATCAGTAAGCAAGGAGAAAGCTGGGGTTTGGGGGAAGATGTTGAGTGCTGCATCACCACTGAACCCATAGGCACACACTGAACCCATTTCACCTGCAGAGCTGTTGTCTGAGCTAAAGCTGCAAGTATGTAGAGGAGTCGGCCACAGAGCCGTGGAGAGATGGAGAAGGAGAATATTGTGTCATGCACAAAGACCTAGAGATGCAGGCAGAGAGACCGTCTCACATAGGAAGAGTGGGGAGAGTTCCAGTGTGGTGGATGTAGAGGTGACTGTGTGCTTCGGGAGGAGGATGGATTAGTAAACGAGAGGCTAGAGTTTGGTTATTGTCTTGGTTACTTTTTTCTCTTGTTACTGAGACAAAATACCCAACACCCAAAATTAAGGAAGGAAAGGTTTATTTAGCTCACAGTGTGTGGAGGTTTCAGTCCATAATCAGCTGGCTCCAAGGCAGGGGGACGTGGCACAGGGGTAACCATTGAAGGCAGCAGAAGATAGCAAAAGCAGCAAAAGCAAAAGTGGGGAGAGCAAGCCTCTTTTCCTGCCTTCTATTGTAAGCAGGCTACCTCCTCCTCCCCCAGGGCGAGTGTAGCACTCACACCATCTCCATGCCCTCCTCTTTTGCACAAGATGATGATGTTTTTACAAGTGAGGGCCCTGGCCCCTGCTGAGTCCCTTAGTTAAACTTCTAAACTTCTCAAGTTGACACAGTGAATCAACCATTGCAGTCCATCCCTTGTCAACTTGGCAACCAGGCACATTTCTCCAGTCTCCAGATACATAGACATGCTTATTCATATCATTTCACAGCTTGAACATTATAACATAGTTTTAACAATTAAGTAGTAAGTCTATCAACATTATATTACATTAGAACCATAGCATTCCACCCCTAGGCACCCAGAGTCAAGCACATGCCTTCGTGCAAAAGGCATTTAGTCCATCTCTAAGAGTTGCCAAAGTTCTAACAGTTTCACCATTGCTGGAAAGTCCAAGTGCCAAGTCTCTTGCAAGATTTAAGGCAAACTCTTTATCTGTGAGCCCCTGTGCAAATGGAAGGTTAAACACTTCCAAAATTCAGTGGCACAAGATGAACATTTTCATTCCTAAAGTTATAAACAGGGGGATACAAAGGAATGGGACCAAAGTCAGGCCACAATCCAGCAGGGCAAACAACTGAAATAATCCATGGCAAGTTATAAGCTCCAAAAGGCTTGAGTGGCTCCACCCCTACAGCACTTCAGGTGGTCGTAACTCCAATGGCTTCTCTCTGAGGCCCACCTTATTTTTACCTTGCAGATTTCCTTAAGACAATCCACATTCCTGGCTTTTCCAGACTTCTGGGATCTCCAGTGCACCTTTGGCTTCATACGCACAGCTTCAGGCAGTCTAATGTTGAAGTGGTGAAGGCCAGGGGCACACTGCCTGGCCTCCCGGGCCTTCTGAAATTGAGGTGGACACCTTAACTTAACCCCACAACTCTTGTGTTTTGCATGCACCTAAAACCAGCACCATGTGGATGATGCCAAGGTCTGCTGCTAGCTGGAGCAGTAGCCAGGCTTCCATCTCTCTTGGCTGTAGGGGCAGAGTGCCTGGATCTCTGAGCACTCTGAATCCAATTCTGAGGAACAATTTTTTTGTGCTGCTGCCATTCTGGAACATGGTGCAGCTGTTGCCATTCTAGAACATGGTGTGGCCACCACATTTTGGAACATAGTGCTCTGCAGCTTTCTCCTCAAAGCAATGTGTTTCACCTTTGCAACTTTGAGGCTGGAAGGGGTGGAGACTTGCCGCTTCTTGTGATACCCTCACACCATCTTTTGTATTCTCCAATTCCTTCTCAGCAATCAAGATCTCCTCTGCTCTGTCTTTGCCGTCTATAGCTTTACTGGAGCTTCCTTTCTGGCCAGACTTACAACATTTTAAATCATCCTGCTGGGCTCTATGCACTTGATTCTCAACATGGCAAACAGTCCCCAGTAGTAGCCAAGCTACCACTTCAACGTTAGACTGCCTTGAAATTTCTTCTGCCAGATTAGTTAGTCCACTGCCCTTAATGTCAGCCTCAGGCAAAATTTCTGGACACAAGCAAAATATAGACAAACTTTCTGCCAAGTCATAACACAAATCATCTGGAGTCAAGCACCCTATGCAGTCCTTCTTCCCAGCAGAAACTTCCTGAGCCTGGTCTTTACCAGCAGTATTTCTATCAGCCTCCTGGTTTTCTGAGCTCTGACCAGAATCTCCAATACAGAACAGCCTAAGGTGTTGCAGCTCTACTTTTTCAGGTGACATCTCCAAACCTTTCCAAACTCTTCCCACAAGCCATTTCTAAAGGCTCTTGAACCACATGGTCAGGTATAGTCACAGCAACGACTCTGCTTTTCTGGTACCAAATTCTGTCTTGATTATTTTTCTATTGTTGCTGGGACAAAATACCTGACCCCCAAAATTAAGGAAGGAAAGATTTATTTAGCTCACAGTTTGTGGAGGTTTCAACCCATAATCAGCTGGCTCCAAGGCAGGGGGGCATGGCACAGAGGCAACAGCTCAAGGAGGCAGAAAACAGCAAAAGCAGCAAGAGCAAAAGGGAAAGAGCAAGCCTGTTTTCCTCCCTTATACTGTAGGCAGGCACTCACACCATCTCCATGCCCTCCTCTTTTGCACAGGATGAGGATGTTTATAGGTAAGGGCCCTGGCCCCTGCTGAGTCCCTTAGTTAAACTTTTAAACTTCTCAAATTGACACAGTGTATCAATAATGACAGTCATAGAAATAATACAGGATCAAGTCAACATATACCTTACATCCTCACCATCATCACTGTCGAGTGTCACAGAGATGCAGCAGGGTTATGCAGAAGCAGAGAAGCACTCAGAGCTATTGCAGCGAGTGGTAGAGAATGGGTACCTGAGCAAGAGTAGAATCAACAGGGGGAGCAGAAATGGGAGGATGTGGGACACGAGACTTGGAGCAGCACTGTAGCATTTGGTGAAGAGCTGAGCTTTGGGGGCACATTGGGCTCAAAATCCATGCCATTCAAGTGGGGCTGTGGGGCAGGCAGCTGGTTACATGTGTCTGATGTTCAGAAGAGAGGAAGACAGGTGAGGGAAGAAGCCAACTTTGTAGAGAGCATGCGCATCATAATGTTCTAGGGATTAGGAGGCAGAGGAGCCTACAAAGGAGACAGATGCCCCACGGAGGGGCTGGGTGGGAAACCAGGAAGAGTATCAGAGAAACTAAGAATAAGGGAGCATTTCAAGAGGGAAGAGGAAGGCTTACTGTGTTGAGTATGGCTGAAGAATAGCTTAATAAAAGTGACTGTCCTATAGGGTTAGTGAAGGGCCGTCAATGACTTCTGCAGGATGAGCAGGCAGCCAGGAGCCAGCCTTCTCCACAGAGAAGACTGGGAAGTTGGGAGTGGAAAATGTAGGCATGGTCAGCTCATTGCAGAGGCTTAGCTGTGGAAGGTGGGAGGTTTCTGCTCTAGATACGAGACACATTCGCTCTCTGGTGCTCACAGGAGGAGACTGAGAGGCTGAGACTGAGAAGCAGGCACTGGGGTAAGCAGCGATGTCGCCCCAAGGCTGCTGGTAGCAGGAACATCTAGAGCACAGAAAGGAAGGAAGAGAGAGGAGAGGGCGGGCTCTGCCACCGGGGCAAGGAGAGTGCAGGGGTTTTGGAGGTCAGTGGCAAGAAGGTCATTGCAAACAGGGCCTGAGGACTTCAACCTAGGGACATGAAGGTGGTCATG